AGCGACACAACACATGAGGGAATTGAGGCCCCTAGCCATGTTGGAGTTGAGTTTAACTGGGTATTGATGCCCAAGGTCCATTCAACACATGTCTTATGTTCAAAACCCCGTCCCATGTCAAACCCGATTGAAGGAGGGGGCGCAATAAGAGGGTAGAGAGAGGAGAGGGTGCAATCTTCACGATTCAAACGAAAACCATCATGGGATCCACCACATTCTCAATCAGAAGGGTACGTCCTGGGCAATGGGCTTTTGCACAGAAGCGCTTTTTGTCATGATTTCTCAATTTGCTAAAGCAAACATCCGAAGCAACCAAAAAAGCACACACAGCTTTGACTTGGAGTGCTGTGCGCGGCGATTTTTTGAGGACTCCACGCGCCGGCATTGACAAAAATGGTGCCAGGCTTGCGCATTTGTCTTACAAAGCACCGAAATCCCTGGCTCCATTGCTTTAAGGTAACAGGTTAGAAGCCCACCACTTACTCACTTGGTTACAGGACCTTTGGGGCTCCTAAAGGCTGCAAAACCACACAAGCTCAGAAAATGGGCGTTGGGCAAGCAAGTCGAAATCAAAGTGATGTGAAGAACCCAACACCTGTTCATTGCTGGGACGGTCCCTCACTAACCTTGCTTCGTTGTGGCTTGATCGAGTCTGCAATCCCTCGAAAAGCGCGACTCGAGCTCGGCACGACTCTTGGATGATGGCCGCTCCTGCCGCTCGGTTTCGGCATCTCAAAGTTTCCACGGACACTGCAAGAGCCTGGGCTCAGAAACTTGATGCATCGGTCCATATATCCTTGGCGGGAACCCCTAATCCGTTTCCTGACTGAAATGCAGGGAACCCCTCAAGTGTTCTGTAGAAGCTAATTTTCTTCCTGCAGAAGCCCCTGCCCGGTGTCCAACAGGAAGTGCAGGATCGGAGGGTGTTGGAAGACTACCAGCCTCTTGACAAGCCACTTTCTCCACTTCCACGTGATGCCCGAACAAAGGGTACACAAACTTCTCAAAAAGATCTGCCCCACACTCCCCACAATGCCCTTTCCTCATCTTCCATGCGATTGCTGGGGCCATTTGTCCACGTCCATGGGTGTAAACGTGAGCAACCCCCGGCTCCGTTCCCCGACTCCAGTCCTGCAGCCGCTGGCCCCTGCGTGGGCAAGAAGCAGCTGAGCCTCGGGCTGGCTTCCAGTCATCTCTGTGTTTTGCGTCGTGTCAGTCAGGCGCCCAAGGGCGTGGATGCTATGACCGTACCTTCCAAGATGTTCAGGTTTGTTTTTGAGCTCATCCTGAGGGCTAAGCCCTGGATATGCCTGCCCTTCTGTTCCCTTATTGTGACATAGCATGCACTGCCCAGCTAAGTAACATCAGACGTTTGTTGCCTGTTGCCTGCCATCCCCCCCCCCACACAAAAAAAAAAAAAAAACAAGCAAACAAAAAACGACAAAGTGGACTTGAGGCGCCCTGCGTCACCGGATTTGCGGCGCTGTGACCGACGGCGCCCCTGGACTGAGCTCTCAAGCTGTCTGGGTTCAATACGACTCAGAAACGTATCCCGGTGGATCCATTTACCTGCATAGTAGGTAGCCAAGGGAACCACCGAATACAGAAAACCAAGAGGAAAATTGCGGGTGACCCACAAGGGCTTGCAATTAGACACCGGCAGAGGTGATCTCGTTCTACCCTTTCCCCGATTCGATCGACACGAATCGAAAAAGAACTCGGGGGAACCCGAGGTGTCCCCACGAGCCCGGCCTGAGCAAGAAGTAGAGGAGAAAGATCAATGGCACCTCGAGTGGGAACGTGGGAACGTGTCAGTCACGAGGGAAAGCACGGAACATCCCACCAAAAAAGAAGTCAACATGAATCTAGCCGATTGAAATTGGCCGATTCGCATGACGAGTTTTATAAAAGGATTGAGCCCGTGTGTTCAGCAAACGATTTGGTTAGCCTGATTCCGGAAGCACAAAGGCTGACACCATGCTTCCCGGAAAGGACGCCAGAGCCCGAACACCACTCATAGCTTGACCTCAAAAGCTCTGAACCTTTGGGAATTCCAAGGCTCTTGCATTGCGAAGCCAACCCGGCCAGGCCCCATGTCAATTGGTCAGGCTATGGAAAACTCGGTTGTTTTCTGCTCCCCTGCCAAAAGTTTAACATTTAGTGGTTTAATGGAAAACCCACTAGTTGGCAAAAAGTTAAAGTCCTAACATTCCTAACATCCAAGCAAAATGCACCAAAGAAAAGACGAGGCTGGGTTTCTCAAAAATGGCTCAAGCAAGTTGAATCCAATGGCTCCCAGCTCAAGCACCACCCTCGAATCCTCGAACGCGGTCGTCTTAGGTCGGCCACCAGTAGCAGGATGAAGCAGCAGCAGGCGCCAACGCAATACGTCCTCGCGGCGAGATTCTGCTGGCAGCTCAAGCCCCTGACTCTCAGGAAACTCTGGGACCTGAGTCCAGAAGCATACGATTGGGCAACTCACAGTCAAAGCTAAAAAACGACCAGCAGCATGCGGGGCCTCTGCAGCCAGGGTATCCTCTCCCCCGAAATGAAAGGGAGTGTCTTTTTACACTTTTGCGTGGGGTTCCTTGCTGGTAACATTGTCATTTGGTCCGGTCAAAAGGCCCCAGCTCCCTCCCCAGCTCCCTCGCGAGCTACACTCCTGTTCAACATGGAACCCGCAGGTGGGAAATCCACGAGGGTTCTGCCCAAAGTCATTCGCCTTTTGGGGCACCAAAAAGCCGTCCCCTCCACTCATTTTGGGTTCCATGCCTTTGCCGATCCTGGCAAAACAAATGCGATCCCAAAAACACCCCGCAGCTAAACGCCGAAGCCGGCCATTCGCGCGCCTCCATCCCCAGGGCTTCCTCACCTCCTCCTGGATGAAGGCCCCCTTGCCATGTCCGACCTCGCTTGGCCCGGGGCTCACCGGTCGGGTGAGTTGGAAGCTGGGGCGTGGGCGTGGAGTTCTGCCCTACCGTCCCGAGTGGCGACTTTGTGGCCTTCTCAAATTGCTTCTGGATGACTTAACCACGGTTTTGGGGTGTAACTTTACAGCCCTATCTTTCAGGGCAATGGGCTGGGAAAGCCCGGTGCGCGGTGCGGTTGCTGGGTTCTACACAACTGTCTGCCCGTTCTAAGGCGCATGGCGATGTGCCGACATACTGGAACCCACCAGAGGGTCCCTTTTTAAAGACAACAGTCTTCCAGGACCCCTCAGTCAGGTTCCATGTTAACGGACAGGAGGGTGGTTGCTTTGCCCTAGCAATCCATGTCACTGGACAGGAGGGTATATTGGCTGGTTCTCCGGCTTACCATTTACGCTTGAGATGTGAGAAGTGGCGCTCCCTCAGTGCCCCCGGCCACTGCTTGCAGTCCACAATCATGTGAGGGCCAAGGTGGGCATTCAAGGAGGCAGGCTGCTTGGGAAGTCGTTACGTAGTGTCCCTGGTTGTAACCCATTTGCTGCTGCTCTACCCTCTTTCCAACAATCTTGGAATCGAACAGGCGGGTTTTGGAAGACTACTCTCCTGGTCAAAAAGCACCCTGTCCACTTCCTTGTTGGGCAGAGGTCCTTAAGGTGGGTCTCAGCCAGTGTCTTAACCCCGATCCTCTCAACGTGGAAGCAGTCTGAGGCGCCGGGCAAATTCCAGCTTCTTCGCCTCTGCCCAGTCGCCCCTGCCTGGAATCCGGTCGCCCGCTCGTCGCCCGCTGGCAAATTGGAGAGACGGGATTCGGAAGCACCAAGGAGTCTTCCAGAAAGGGCTCCTCTGTACCAGTAGGAAACACAAGGGACGCAACCAATACCCCTTTCAATGACCTCAGCTCTGCTGTTGCAACATTCGCCAAGGTTGTTTTGCTGCGGAGCCCTGTTTTGAGACACTCTCACCTGCCTTCGCCCACGTAGGTCCAAGTGAGAGGTTGCCCTTCATCGACGCCGTCCTCACAGTCGCACCTCAAAGAACCCCTCGCAGGGGTGGGCACACGTGGGGCCAAGTCTTGAAAGAAGGGCATGCGTAGAACCATAAATAATAAATAAATAGACACATAAAAAAAATAATCAATAACAAATACGCCCAGGTGGCATCCTCAACAGCAACTCCCTGTGCACCCTTCCGGAACCGCTCCAGAACCTATGTGGGCAAAGACCCCAATGAGACAACCCAACTATTGTTTCAGGCTTCCCTCCAACCCTGGCGCGAAAGGGGCCCTGGCCCCAGCATCGCCATGGTCCTGAGCATCACATGGCGCATACTCCCTGGATGTCCGTTGGTCCCCGAGCTGCTTTTGCACCATGAACAACGCAGCGCCACTGGCAGCGTTTGCATTTCATAAACATCAGCTCACTGCCGTTCAAAGGTTCCAGACTGGTTCCAGGCCCAAGCAACAAAACCCAACCCTACCCCTCACCGATTTGAACCCACCCCGCCTGAGTGCGTCCGAGTGCTCCCGACAAGCGCTTGAATTAGCCCGTCTCTTAGGGCTGCGGTGTGAGGCATGAGGTTTGAAAGGGAAGTTGGAGGCACAGGGAAACCAAGAGGAAACCAACCATTGGGGAAATTGGGGGCACCCCTATTCAGGAATCCACAGCCGTCAGGAAACCGCACGGCTGCAGATTCAGTTTGGTGAAGGTGCCTATTAATCATGGTATTAAGCGTCTTTGAGTTGGCATCATTTGGGACACACGCCTTTCCGCACACAGGCTGGCCACCTCGGGTGCGTGAGTCCATCCAAGTTGAACACATCTGAAAACTTGCACCACCCGCCCCACCCAACGTTTACCCCGCAGATCCTTGCACAAGGAAAAGTGGATGAAACTTATCCAACCCGATACCACCGCCTGAAGAAAGCCCCTCTTTGCCCTCCCGAAGCCGCGCGACACGCCTTTCCAGCTTCTTGACGCACTTGTGGCCCCAAGTTCCATGCTCCGATCTCTTCGGCTGAAGGTGACCCCCAGCAAACCCTCTGAAGGAGTTAATTACTCAACCTTGGGGTAAGAAGCTTCATTGGGGACCCCTTGGTGGACATCAGAATTCGGCGGGGATTCATCTCCACCACCCACTTTTGAGGTGACTTCCCACTGAAATGCACGGCCATTCAGCAAACAAGCCATCAAATGGCTTGTTCTTGTCAGGTGCGGCACATTGGGCACGCAGCCCGAAAGGCTGGCACCTGGCTCTCCGCGAAAATGCACATCTCCAGGCGGCCCCTCAGCTGCCGCCGCAAGCGCTGCTGCTCCGAAACCTCCAGGGACCTGCAGTTAACAAACGCGCGCCCGGCGCGAGCCAGCCACCGCCCTGTACAACCCCCCCTTTAGCGTAAGTTGAGCTGGAGCATGCGGAAGCCACGTGAGTTTGAAAGGCTGGGAAGCTCGTGGTTCGAGAAGGTTCGCATTTGTGCTGCAAGAAGGAGTTGATGGTTTGACAGAAAGTCAGACCAGGGTGAGTTTTCAGGGAACCGGCTCTCACTTGTGTCAATTGCCCAAATGCACTCAGCCACAGATTCAGGGCAAGCGGGCATCTCGGCCAAAACACGCATTTGCTCAAGCATGATCCTGTCGGTTTTTCACGCTCAATTTCCTGACCTGACAATGATTGGTTTGCTTTGCCAATTCCTAGTGAAATGTCCAACTCATTTTGATATGCCAGGTGTTCACGCCCTCGGTGCCATGGGCAAGTTTACGGGCGACATACACCCAAAACACACCTTGCCACGCCAACTATAAACCCTTTGCTGGGGAGATGTTCAAAGGGAAAATCTAGGACGCCCTGAAAACCCCAAGACGCCCAAGATCTCCGAGCCAGGTCCCCACACACACACACCAACCCACCACCCCACCCCCCCCGGAGAAAAAAAAGTCCCCTCCACCTGAAAGCGTTGTTTAGGCTCGCGAAGGTCATCCGCGGCAGCTCTTCCTGGAAGGGCCCTGCGAAGATCCCCCCCGAGACCGGCAGCATGCGGAGCCCCGTGGCCCCCGAGTCAAGGAACTCCTCCAGCACCTGAGAGCGAACGAAAGGAGTCGATGGCGTCTGCGCCCCCAAAAGCGGGCCACATGGCCAAAGGGATGTCTCTCAATGGAGGCATCGCCGCGAAACTGGTGAGTTCTCCTGTAGTTCCCTCCAAGATCTAGTCAAAATGACCCTCGAAAAAGACTCACCCGAAGCCCAAGCTCCAAACAAATCTGGCCACGTCTTGGTGGAATCCCTTGGTTTCCTGGACCAAAAACCGGCGACGGTCGAAAGACACGTGGCTTGGCCCCGCTTGGCGCGCCTGGCTCTCGGGCTATGAAGCTGTAAACCCAAACCGCCGTCAGGTTTACAAGCCCCAACCAAACAAACGCGGCCCAATGGTTGACACGGGAAACGCAGATGACACAAGCCTCTTTATGCACTTAAAGAGGCTAAACAGCAATAAGTTGGAAAAGAAGCTAGTAAATCCAAAGCATTAGATACACATGCTTGGATTTTGTCACCTTTTACCAACCAAGACGTGTTTTCCGGCGTGGCTTGCCAAGCAAGACGCGTGTTTGTAGGCTTTCTCCAGCTTTCGCATCGCCTCCTTCCGCGCGGAAGAGGAGTCCGAGGCCACCGCGCTGAAGTCGGGGCCCACCACGTGGATCACCTGCTTCTGGCCGTAGGCGTAGTGCCTCAAGACGCATTCGTTGCCACGGGTGGGCGAGGTCCTCCAGAGAGGTTAGAATAAGTTGGTACCAACTTGTTCAGTTGTCTATTTTAGTAGGGGAACCCTCCCCCGAAAAAGGGGAGAGAAGGGCACTACTGGGGGATCTAGTAGGAATCCGGTACCGCCATGGAACCTGACTGAGGGGTCCAGGTTTGGACAAGTTTCCTTCAAAAGGGGCTCTCTGGTGGGATAGGAATCCGGTGCCCTCCTGTCCACGTTGGGACCTGACTCAGGGGGTTCCGGTTTGAACATTTTTTTCCTTCAAAAGGCGCCCTTGGATAGCAGTTTCCGTGTTGGTGGACTGGAAGGTACCCCCCGAATTGGTGGTTTGGATTAATGTTGGGGGCTTTGAAGCCCTGGTTCCTGTAGAGAGTGAATGGGAAGCCACCCAACCTCCTCAGCGCCAAGCCAAACCACCAAACCGGGCCGCAAAAAGAATGTAAAAGGGGCGTGAAAAGGGAAACGAAAGAAAAACAAGCAGGTAATACACCACCATCTCTGATATGTTAAAAAATGGAGTAAGGCGAGCCGAAAGAGCCGAAAGAAAACCACTAATTTGGGGCGATCTGACCAAGGGGGAGGTCCACCAACACGCAACGCAACAACCAACAAATGGATCTTTCTCAAAATGGTGAATCCGTCTTAGATGGCGCCAAAAGGGGAACCAAAACGGCACCAACCACAGCCTATATTTGTGGAAACACCCATAAATTTGGCCCGCAACAGGACAAAGGCTCTCTGAGTGCTTCACCCCCGCTGCCCCTCCAAAAATTAGACCGTGTCTAATGCCAAAAACCGGGGCGGCACTGTGTCTTTTGTCACTGCCGAAGACCCTTCATGGCACTTCATGGCCCCATGAAACTGCAGGGACATAACTAAAGGAACGAAACAAGCCTTGAACTGCTGAGAAACGTTTGGGAACGAGGCGACAGAGATCCTAGACGAGCTGCTTCGCATCACCCTCCTTCTGGATGGCTCGCCGCACCGCCGCGGGAAACTTTGCATCCAGATTGATCCTCAGCCAGGAATAGATCGCACCTGGCCGAGCGCCCCAGAAGAAAGAAGAGGCGGTCAAAAAGGATGGGAGGCAAGTCTCATCCTGCATCCCCTGCGCCAACTGGAAAAAATCACACATGACTATCCCACTTCTATGATAAGGGTGCCTTAATACATGGACCCTGTGTTGCTCTCTGCGAGTCATCCATTCCGAATGGGAACCCTGGATTGGTAAGCCCCACTGGCCTGAGGCGCCCCCAGCGCCAGCCGGGCCCAGGTCTTGCACGAAGCGCAGGCCGGCAGGGTCCACAATGGCCGTAGACTCCTGCGACGCTTGGAGGCGAAGGGTTCCCTTGGCATAGGAATACTCGCAGTCATGGGAGCCCAGTTGATAAACACCAGGTTGATAGAGGAGTCCCACTAAGAGAGAATGCTTCTTTGCCCTTTTCTGTTTTTGTCTTTTCCTTTTTTTGGGGGGACACCAAGCTTCACCTCAGGTTCCCCTTTTGGGGATGGACAAAATCCACGGCGATTGGCACCAGTTGAGATTGGTGGTTTGTCCTGTGGGATTTCATCCAGCCGAACGGAAACCCTGGCAAGCCAGCCAGTCAGACCATGGTGAAACTAGCAGAAATCCTTAGACTCAGTTCGTGACCAACTCAGGGAACACACCATCAGTGGAAGTGTGTTATAACAGCTATAAGCATGATGCAACTCCCTTACCTGACACCTGAAATACACTTGGATCACAGGCGCAATTACTTCCCCCTCGCGCAACCCCGTTTGCTGCGCATCATTGGGGCCTTTTATTTAGACCCGAGGTCCGGACCCTTCGAAGTCAAGAGGAGGTTAATTAAAACCTTTTCAGATGCAACCAGTGACTGCGACCCTTATCCACGGGATCTACTGAGCAGCTGAGACCGCAAAGGCGGAACGGGTGAACAGCAAGCAAAAGCACCCCCCCCCCCCCCCCAAAAAAAAAAAAAAACGACTTCAAACCCCCACCCGGGTATTCTGCTTGCGGCCAACCCCACCCCCACTACCCCCGCCCACCGCCCGCCCAGCCAACCCCGACCTCTGGCTCGGGCCCCGTCTGCGCGAAGCCGCCTTTGCCACTTTGGACCCCCAGGACGCCGTAGGGCACCACCCGCACCAGGTCCAGAAAGTTGGAAGTGTCGACCTCATCCAAGACCTCGCAGAGAACAGACCCAACCCCCCTCCAGCTGCCATGAACTCAGGTCGGACCACGCCTGGCTTGCTACCCTCCAAACGATGTACTTACACACCTCTGCTTTCTTCTCATCTCAAACCTCTGCAGCTTCCAGCGCCGCAGCTTCCCGCACACGGGAGCCTGCGAACGCCAAACCTAGCAGCGCCAGCCCCAGCCCGAGCAACCCCAGGCGCCGACAGCGCCGGGCAGCTTCCGCGGCGCCGCCGGCAGCAGGCGCCGCCTCGGGCAAAAGCCGTCGCTCGTCGTCCATGGGCAAGACGCCGCGGGCGGCGTTTTGCGCCCGGACCCCTTGCTCCCAAAGGCGCGCCAGCACAAGGAACCCCTCCGCATGCACATCCGGGATGGAAAAAGGGAAGCAAGCATGCAGCACGCCGCAGGTTTTTGAGCTCGCCGCTGTGCTTGGGCTTTGGCGTTTGCTTGCCCTGACCCTGAAGTGAGGCGAAACATAACTTTGGGCTTGCTTTCTCCTTGTGGCACTCTTTGTTGCCACATTCCCTTTGCCATTTTGCCCAATCTGATTCCATGCGCCTCCACCCTAGCTCAGCTCCTGCGGCTCACTCGCGTCTTGGGAAGCCTCAAGAAAAATCCGGCATGGCTGCCGAGGGTAGGTCCGTGTCTCATAGGCTGCCCCTTTGCTAGAAGGACTGCCCACAACCGAAACTTGCAATGGACAAGGGGGATGTCACATCTCGGCATGCCATTCGATACAGGCATATGCCTGTTCGCCAAAACGGGATGGTCCGATCCGCAAAAATGCCGGCCCTAAAACTTTGTCCGCCCACTTGGGCCGAAGGGGAGGCTCCCGAGTTTGAGGCACGTGCTTGCCCCAGCAGGCAACTAGTAGGCTTAAGAGGTCGGGGGGGGGGGGGGGTCCGGAACCCATCGCAGAGATTGAGGCAGTGATATGACGAAGACGTGGTCACAATGCCACGCAACTGGACTCACCCCTGTTGGCTTCTTCCGTTCTATGCATTCGGCCTGCGGCGTCCCAGTTATGGTGACATCGCCATCCGCGAAGACATCCAGAACCTGAGCTCGGCGCTGGATCTGCTAACAAATGGCAGGGTACGTCAGGCAAGTGGTTGGCAACCA